ATAATCCAACTCCTTTAGATTTTAAATATAGATTAAGATGGTATATTGTGGCCAAACATTTAGCCGCCATCTTCACAGAGAAAACGAATACTTACGTAACTGAAGAAACCTGAAAGGGGTGCTGTAATCACCTTAACGTACATATAGATTTGTAAATTACATTATAAAAATTAGGAAACCGCTGTATTTTTGGTACCTAAGATATGCAATTTCTTGAACTAAGAGGTAGCAAAAAGCACAAGTTATTTTGTTACGTTTACTTTTACTTTTAGTGACTTGGGCAATATATTTTTTTTTGTCTGTAAACTCTAAACAAATTCACTGGCTTCTATAGACCAGATGCGGCTCGTGGCCTAGTCTGCGATAAGACTACTGAGACTACTTTTTAAAGGCCCTATATAATTAATACAAATATACGTTTCTATTAGAATACTACATTATGTTTTAGTAGAAATATATATTTGTAAGTGTATAGGGTGTGTCAGCTTCCTCGTAGACTAGGTAACAAGCTGCCACTGCTACACACTCTACTGATGTGCCTAATTGTCGTATTTTTTTATTGTTATTTGTAATTGGGTAAGGGTGAGGGGGTAAACAGCATGGACTATGTTCCAGAGGTGAGGGCTGTCATATAACCTGTCAAATTAATAGTAAATTTGCTTATTGTTAGATGTCTTTGTTTGTTGCTGACAATGGGCGCGTTCAGCCGACGCAACAGTTGAGTATGGTGACTTGTTGGGTCTTCTGAACGTCACTTGTTGAGTTGTGTTTAGTTTCAACCGTTGCTCAACATCGGCACCAGGAAAATTCTATGGTGACTTTTGTAAACGAAGTATTGTAATCAGTGTTGCAAACTAAAGGAATTTTTAATTTAGAGATTTATAGTTTTTTTATTGATTTTTAACCACTCTAGGAAGATAAAGCTTATAACCGCACATTTCTTAACTTTGTACATGATTTTTGTTGTTTTTAAAATTCTAAAGTTAAACCATGATGAAAAATATTCATTATGACTGATTATGACAGTATATTTTTATATGATCTTAATTTATAACCGAAAATGATTTTATTTATATCATCACTAGAGGTCACCGCGTGTGTGTGTATTGGATATTGTCTAACCGCTGAACCAATTTATACCGTTCAGGTACTTTTAATTGTTGACTTCCACCATATCAGAAACATGTTTTCGGTTTTAATCAACTGTTGTGTCGGCTGAACGCGCCCAATGATATATATGCCTTACAGAGTGTGGCGGAAAGGAGAACAATCTTAAGGCGATTTTAACTCAGTTACTAGAACTGACTTAGATAACTGTGTTTATTTTTCACTTTAACTGGATGAATGAATCAACAGATGTCGTTGACACTGCCCAGATGGCCGTGTTCGTCAGGATGGTTTTTAGTGATTTTACGATTAAAGAAGATCTTTTGAAGTTTATTCCACTGAAAGGACACACTACTGGACAGGAGTTGTTTTCTCATTTAAAAAATATTTTTTCTTCCGAGAAAATTCCAATATTGAAAATGGTAGACTTGACAACCGATGGCGCTCCAGCTTTGGTGGGTTGTGATAAGGGTCTGGTGGCGTTATGTCGTAAAGATGAAACTTTTCCGCAATTTCTCTGTTACCACTGCATTATCCATCAGCAAGCATTATGTGAAAATTTCCTGAAACTAAACAACGTTATGAAACTGGTGGTAAAAATTGTGAACAAGATTAGAGCTCAAGCGTTACAAAGAAGATTATTCAAAACCTTGGCCGATGAAGTTGACTGTCAATACGGGGACCTACTCCTTCACTCTGAAGCCCGATGGTTAAAGGACGGGTGCTGAAACGTTTTAATGATGTCCTATCTGGCACAGTTCAATTTTTCAAACAACGCGATGAACCGACTCCGGAACTAGAAAATTCAATCTGGCTTAGAGATTTTGGTTTTCTCGTGGACATTACAGAGAAATTAAACGAACTTAATTTGCAGCTTCAGGGGAGAGACAAAGAACTAGCGGAAATGATTTCTGATATAAAAGCATTTATCAAAAAGCTGGAGTTTTAGGAACAAAACCTAATTAACAGCGATGCCAAGTATTTTCCTATTATTTCAGAAAAAATATCGCAAAATCCATTAGAACCCTATGACAGCAAATATTAATAGTTTCTACCCTGAAGAATAACTTCAAAAATCGTTTTAAGGATTTCAACGAAATGGCTTTAGTAGCGCAGTTTGTTGTTTCACCCTTTATGGAAATTGATATCCAACAGTTCGCAACTTGTGTTATGCAGAACTTTGGCGAAGAGATCGCTGCAACAGAAATGGAAGTAATTGAGTTTGAAAATGATTTAGCCTTAAAATCGTTAGTCTCAAGTACCAAATAAATGTATCTGGCCTATTGTAAGTAAAGACAAATATTCAGTTCTATGCCGTATTGCCTTGAAAGTGAAAGCATTATTCAGTTCAACCTATTTGTGTGAATCTTCTTTTTCCAATATGAAGTTTATTAAGAACAAATATCGCAATCGATTTACAGATGAACATTTGAATAATTGTATTCGAATGGCTGTATCAAATTATACTGCAAACATTAAAAAAATTATCGATGAGCCTAAGTGTCAGCCTTCTCATTGAACGTGCTTTTTTATTTTTCAATGTTTATGTTCATGATAGTGCGTTACTTTTTTGTTGTTATTATACTATTTTTAAATCTTACGTGACATGCCGTTGTAGCTGGATAAAAGTTTGTGTTTATTTTTCAAACACCTTCGTTTGGTAGGTAGGAATGTAGCTATGAACAAGTACATACTAGTATTATTAGTTATTTTGTTATTAGTTTATTATTAGTACCTATGTATTATGTATTACCAGTTAAATAGTAAAATAAATACATATAATGATAAATTAACTGTGGATTATTTCATTTACGTTGCGTTACGTGGCTTCCGTGTGGGTAGCTCGCTGTTTATTTCAAAATTAACAAAGTAGCTCAACACATTGAGAGGTTGGCGACCACTGCTCTAGAAATAATCAGGCTGACAAATATAAGACAAAAGAACATGTCTTAATGTAAAACAAAATACAAAGTTAGAAGCCTTACGATTCAAATCTAGAACTTCGTAAAAAAATATAATATCTCCAGTAGGATTAAATAAAAAGGGAAAATATACTATAGATTAAGTTAGAATAGAACTAGTATAGGATAGGATAATGTAGAATAGATTCGGTTTAACTTGGAATAGCACAGAATAGTTTAGGTGTAGTTATAATAGCGTAGTTTTAGGATAAAGTAGAAGAGTTTAGATTAAATAGAATAATTTAGTTTAAGACAGATTAAGTTTAGACTAGTTTAGTTTGGAATAGATTGAGTTAGAATAGTTTAGACTAGTTTAGTTTAGGATACAGTAGTATAGATTAGATTAAAATTAGATATAAACTCAAAAAACACTTAAATAAAAGAAAAGTAATTTATTGCTGTTTCGACTAAAACTAAAACAGACAAGCTAAAATTTCAGATTATTTTACAAAATGTAGTTCAAGTTCCAAAATGTTTAAAATAAACCATTCCCATAATAATATTTCGCTTTATAATTCAAATAAATAGTAATTCATTAGAAAATTTTATAAAAATTATTACATAATTTTTCCTTGCTGTTTTGTAGCTTGTCTTTCAAAAAATTATACTACCGATAATATAAAAACTCTTAACACTGGAAATAGTACATAAATAAAAATACAAACAGCACAAATCTACGAACCGCTGCACAATATTTTTTGTAACCTCGATTTTTCATTTTGTGACGTCACATCCTCGTTTCTAGCGACCTGAAAAGGCCACCTTTTCAGTCTGCGAATCGTGGTACTACTCACATTCTTTTAAATTGTTATGGTATGTAAAAAAGTGATCCTGGCTGAAGAGGGTGATATTTTAAAATATACAAATAAAAATTATTTTAGTTGTTCTTATAAATTATTATTTACCTCAACTGTTAGACAATGATAAATCTTTTATATTCGAAAAGTTATTTTTAGTTATTTTTCTTCTTTTATTTTAAAACTAGAAAGACTGTTATTATGTTAATTATAATTCTGTGTCTAATATTGTGAAAGACATGAGCAATTTTAAGGAAACAATTCAAATTAGAACAGATTTTCCAAGGAAATGTATGTCAAGTGAAGCGTTTAGATGTTCCAGTTCCCAGATATATTTCACTCTTGACAAAAATTACTAAGGACCAAAATGTGTGAAAAACATTAAATAGTTTCCATGGTCAAGTACACTAAGTTCAATCAAATTTTTTTGAATGTAGGAGTAGTCATAAAAATTCAAATATTAATTTTTGTTGCGCTGCCTTCAGGGGGCGCGTAAGTGTTACCTAAGCAGACTTAGGTGGCAGAAGTAGTTGTATTTTTTTATTTTGCTAACAAAGAGCGGAGAATATTACAAATCTTACGTAAGATAAAAAATAAATAAAATATATAATTATTAAAATTATTTTCAAAATAATATTTTTAATTCAAATTAATACTATTTTAAGGTTCCAGTTCATAGTAAATCGGAAACAATGTCAGTGGTTAAAATCACACATCAGACCAGCTGAATATTTTTTGACGATCCATTGCTGTCTGATTGATGGTGAGATTTGACTTATGTGTGAGAAAAACCCGGTAAATCCCACCTACTATCATCGACACGATAATTCACTAAATTAAAATCTGGACAGTATATCAAGAGAAATTAAATTACTAGATACTTATACGCCTCCCGTAAAGTACTTAGTGGTGCTAACTAGATTTTATTTGCATTCCACTATATAAGTTAATACTCCTAAATAGTTCATTCAAAATATTAATTTTTTTCTGAGCATGTATTATAATAATACATTATTTTATTATATAGTAATAATTATTAAATTTATGATCCGATTTTTGTAGGAACCCCATGGGTGTATCCACCCTTATACCTTTCAAATCGTTTCCCAATGGAGTAATTATAAAAGACTATTACCTGAACAAGATCTCCAAAATCTCCTCCATTTGCAGTAAAAGTTAGAAAGCAAATAAACGGGATTTTATCTTCTTTCGGTCGATGGAGTTCCAAATTGTATGTTTTTCCGATGACGCCATAATATGTTCTATTGCATTCTGAAACAAATTTGAGGGTTTAATGAAAGAAAAAGTGTCTGCTAAAATAATGAACAAATAACTAAGGAATAGCATCACTGTAGCAGCCAAAGACATTACAACTAAGAGACCAAATTGTTTACATTTTTATGTGGCAAATCACTATTCCCACCAGATTCTCGTTTATTGCGTCTTTGCCGGTTTTATCAGTCTGTAAAAAATATTTGGAGAAATTACTTTCAAAAATAAAATTTGATGCATCCTATACCTTTAATTTTATATTATATAAATAAAAATATGTTTTTAATCAAATTATTCTTTTTAGTTTTTAATATAAGCTAATTTTTTTTTTTTAAACAATATTAATCTAATAGTCCAGTAACAGAAGGGTCAAACCTGTAGAAAATTCGCTGATGAGTTCCCACATAGCGCAATTTGTAGGTCATCGCAGGTGTTTTTAAACGAGAAAATCCTTAACGCGTTCTTGGTACCGAAAGGGGCTATAAATGGACCCTTAAAACCTGGAAAATGGGTTTCCCGCTAATATCTGACTGAATATGCCAATTAGAGAATTTTTGTTCAGTCAAAAAATGAAGATCAGCTTCTTATCTACAAAAATGGCCCTCATAAGTTTCTTCGAAAATTTAATAGTTTTCGAGATAATGGCACTCAAAAGTCCCCTCATTTCAGCTGCTGCTCTACCTGCAGGAATTCCGCTTTCTATGAATTAACGTGTAAGCGGGCGGACGAATTATTCCATATATCGGGAAAAAATTGATATTTTTCGATGATTCAAAGTTTATCGCAATGGAAAAACCCGTCGCTTCAATGCCATGTGACTTGAAGTCAGTTCGTATTTGCCAGAAATATTTAAAAAAGCGGTCAAAGTTTTTTTCAACAATATTTAGAGACTGCTTCATTAATTTATTCATATTTTTTTAAAAAATATTCATTTATTCTAATTTTGCCTTTATAATGGGACCTTGGGGGTCTTGAATGATCTCAGAAATGTTTTGGTAATACTTTTCTTGCGTTTTAATACAAAATTGATTTGTATATTTACATGTTTCAGCCGATTTCGGAGTTCCATAGAATCTTCGGAACAATTATAATCTTATGATCCGTTATATTGATTTCCAATGCACATAATTTTAAAGCTTAGATGGTCTACTTTTCAAATATATTTTTTTTATTTTCAATAGAGTAATAATTTTCAAGAAATGAGGAAAATTGATCACACGAGTGAAAACCGGCCTTTTTTTGTTTAACCATTTCTTGTTCCCCGCTCTTTATTTTTTGTATTGTGACCTTTCCATTGATATAAGTCAATCCCCATATCCGTTCTTGGTTCTAAAAAGGTTGTTACAATAATTATATACTTCATTTTTACGCTCCCCCTCTGAGATCCATGATATTGTATATAACCTAACCTCGTGTACCCACGCGGCGATAGTTGTCTGCATGTGTTTGTTTACAAATCTCTGTTTTGGAGTCGTCGGCTTGACCGAAATATTGATGTACTGATGATATTTTTTCATTATTTATTTTGAATTATTTATTTAAAATAAAATAAATATTTTTGTCAAGTAAATTTTGGGTTTAAATAGAGAGACTAGGCTAGAAAACACTCGAGTAAGGACTACGGTCCAAAACTCTTGCCGAAAGGCGAGACTCTCGTTTCAGTGCCCTAAGTCTCGAAACACCGTAATGTTTAAAGTAAAGTTTTGTGCAGCTATTTATGTACTAGAAGTAAATATCTTTAACTTATCTTAAAAGTGTTGTTTGGTTTTGTTTTGAGATAATTAATTGATTATTATATAAATGCGAATTTGTACATTTTTTACCCTAATTTATATATCTTACATTTATCTTATATTTATTAATATTCATTTATTATAATATTTATTTCCTTAACATAGATTGATTATTTATTCTTGAGACTATTAGTTATTTTGTAATTATTTTAAATATACATACGTCACTATTTTAATACTTATTATTATTCTCTCCTCTCCTTTCCAAAAGCAGTTCTGAAATATATAGAGCATTTATAAAGCTTCGGAGTTTTCACCCCTAAGGACTAGAATGAGTCTATAACTAGTTACCAAAGCCGCTCGACTATGATATTAAGAGATAATTTTGTTGTTTTTATATTTTTATTTTCTTCTGTGCTGCATTCATCACTTAATAGTATATTGACAACAGTAGTTAAAAACCTATCAATAGTTATAATAGGTCTTTAGACTAGTTGGTTGTTACAGAAACAGAATACAAGGTTTCCAGATGGAAGAAATCAGGTCTGAAATAACGATCATCATGAGACAGGCATATGTATATAGCCCCTTAAGAGAAAGGTAAGCTAAGAAAGTTCACTTATTTAAATTTTAAGGACTCACCTGAAGGTGTTGGGTGACCTTTCGTTTAAATCACAACGATTTATTTAATTTAATACTGACTGGTTTTAGCAATTCAGATTCCAGAAGCACTAGAAAATATAGCAGAATGCTATCACAAAGTTGAATATATAAAAACTAATTAGAGGAAGTTCTCCAAGTTTGACTAGTAAAGTTTAGCAGGACAAAAGCTGGCAAGAGTGTGACCCTACTTGGTAAAAAGAGAATTTAACACTTAAGGGTGTCATAAAATATATGTAAAAAAAAAAAAAATAAAATATACCTAAAAATATCTGATATACAAAAGAGTTATGTGTACTATTTCATGTAGCAAAAAACATTTCTTTGGGCTCTAAAGTATTCACCAGAAATTATAATCCTGATAATTATAAGACAATAGGTAAAGGGCCCTTGTTGTAGAAAAAGCCAATAATTCTCTCAAAATATTAATGAAAATAACATTGACAGTTTTTGAATACAGTTTTATGAATAAATTTTTAATATTAGAGAATATGCAGATAGTACAAGTTCACTACAGGTCAGTTACTATTAGCGCCGCTTTTATTTTGACATGCGCTGATTATTTAAGTTCTTGAATCAATTTTAATAAAGATAGTGCCTGTTTAACGGTAGCAACTAGTAGCGACTTTATTAGCTTTTAGGTGCGCTCGCGTACATTCGTATCAGTTCGAAGTTACTTAATATTAAATATTTAATATCATCATCTAAATCTCTTAAAAATTGCCATTTCTAATGACTTTAATAATTTGTACTATTATAGACAGCAGCAAAGATAAACCATGATTTCGTGATTTCAAAGTGAAGTTAGGAATCTGTATAAGGACAAAACCTTTATTGTTAATAGTTTTATTTTAGCATGAAATTTGTCTTTAATTACGTTGTCACTGTTAGTAGCTGATGTTACAGGAATTTGCAATCCATCCAAAAGGTGATTGTGTTCAAGGTGGATCTTCCAACAGATTTTTCCCAATGCCAGAAAATTGGCTGGTTGAATCACAACCGGTCAGAGACTAAAAAGCAGTCAACTTTTTTAGAATATTTTCATCCAAATTTAAGTACTGCTAGGAATCGTTTCGAGTCTCCTCGCCTTATTGTGAACCATATCTTTTTATTAGCGGTGAGGGCAGAGGTATGTGAGTGGTTACGATTAAGTACGAATGTTCTAAAGGTCCATTATTTCTAACAAAGTACATTTATTGGCCAATAAATTGCCTCTGTTAGAAATAAAGGAACGTACTTTACGACCTTCGTACTCATATCTTTTAAGTCAAAAACTTCTTAAAATAAATTAATAATACTAGAATGTTTTTATCGTTACAATCAATGATAGTATACCCTTATGCAGTCTAATTTTGTAATACCTACGGAATAAGGGTTATTTTATCATATCCTTTCATTCCTAAAAAAATTAGTTTGTGACAAAAAAGTGGGAGGTAAATCGTTTTTTAGAGCGAATATTTTATTATATACACTCTACTTTGAAATAATAAAAACCTCCAATCCTATAATGTCGGTGTCCGATGAGACAGCAATAGGGTACGCATTATAACAAAGAATTTACTTTTCTTCTATCTGTAGCTTGTAAATGGCGGGTTAACCTATTGCCTCACTAGGCATATTGTGCATCCTCCTAGCTCGTAAGCTAGCCTACGGATTTAATTAATAATCCTTTACTCAGTAGTAATGGTTGAAGTGTTGGACAAATCCATCCAAATAGCGTTAAAACAGACCTGCTATCATATTTCTACAAAGAAACAGCAACTCTTATTTATCCATCTTCCATGAGCAAGATCTATTGGTTATAAATACGTAAATAGTAAGTTTAATAAGGATAATTATTTATATTGACCGCTGGAAAGCCTTTTCAGCTTCTCGCGTAATGCTTTAATTTGAAATTTTTTATTTAACTTTATATTCATCTTAACAATTTGGAAATCTCTGACTATGTCATTGATAGCTAAATTGGAAGATTAACTGTACGTAGAACCGAAGTAGGTGGGTCCCAATCCCTTCGCGGGCCGGTTTTTTACTATTTTTTATTTTCTCCTTAGGGGTTCAAAAATAATTTTTATTACTTCGTAGGGGTAATATTGGGATTTATTTTGGAATTTCCTGGGAATTTAATTTCATCTTTTTCAAATATTTAACCGATCAGTTTCCAGAACTTTAAAACCGATTCTCTCTTACTGTATTTGATCGCGTTGTTACGAGTATTGTGACGAAGTCACTAAAATTTAGTTTTACATAATTGTAAAAATGTATATTTTAAATAATTTCTGCCTAGTAACGTTTCGAAGAGCCCTCGTATTTAGGTTTCCTAGAAATTTCCGGGTTTGTACATTTGCGAGAACGCTCGTAGTTTAAAATAGTTTCGTATGTACCGAAATTGAAACTCGGATTTGAACAGTCAATTCCTTGTAAATTATCTAGTTCTATTCGAGCAGTGTCAAGAGGACATTTTTTTAATTTTTACCCTTGTAAGCAGTCAAAACTGGATGTGGTTTCTCCCACTCCGAAAATGCGCAGACACCGAGCAAGACATGAATACGACGGGCGAAACAAATTTCTTTTTCTCGGCTGACCATTGTAGACTCTCTTTAGGTCCTG